CTTTCTTTCTTTCTTTCTTTCTTTCTTTCTTTCTTTCTTTCTTTCTTTGGATTCTGAAAGCAATTAGCACACATTGTTTCTGGAAAATTTAATAAGGCTATGAACCATGTGGAAGTGTATAGTCTAATTCAGTTTGAATCAACCCCTCTGGCAGTTCTGTTTCAGATTCACATATTACCGTTCATAAGCTCTTTGACTGTTTATTCCTTCCAGATATACAGAAGAGATTATACCTCAGCACCCTTGCCTGAAACTCGTTAGCAACTGTGAGCAGACGCTTTCCAACCACACATCAAGATACCTGATAACCATGGAAAAGGTGAAAGAATTTGAGGTAATTGTTTGGATGGGCTTTCATGCAAGGAAGGAGCTGTCAGCTTTCTCATGGGTTTTTCTACTGCACTGTTGTAAGGTGTTTACTATGCCAAGCTATATTTTTAAAGCAAGTTTAGAAAGTTTGTGAATGCTTATAAATATCAAAACAGAAAGCCAAAATATTTAATGAACTTGAACACAGTCCAGGAAAGAAGTGTTTAGTTTCATTTCCATTCTTTCTGAAGAATATTGGATGTTTTTTTTAAAAAGTATTCCCCCCTCCCCTTGTTTTATTTTCTTCACTTTAATTTAATTTTCTTCATTTTACTTGCTTTAGTTAAGTGTGGCACATTGACTTCACTTAAAAGGTTATGATTTTTCCCTATTTTCTGTAAGGGAGGACGGTGATCCCAATTTTGGAATATTTTGTCAGGGTGTCTCTTTGTTTGGATACATAGACCATCCTTCTATTGGATGCATTAAATTCATACAGTCCTCTGTCTGCACGATTCATGTGGGGAACATCATATGGAGACGTCATTACTAGACGTTGATTGTTACCAGCTTTCAGATTTCTTTTTCATATCTAACATTATTAAAAGAGACCCAAAATTAATCAGAGTGAGGAGCAATAAAAAACCCAGTTAAGACAAGTGAAAAATCATTTACATTTAATAAATTTTGAACTATGTATCACTGAGTAATCTCATTTTAGTAAGACAAAGTAAAGCATTTTATTATTTTTATGACAGGGCAATCCTTTTTGTGTCTTCTCAAAAATCATTTCCCCTGACTTCATGGGGAACTCTTTGGCAGCAGTTGGGTTCTTTTTAATCTCAATTTCTGACATGAACTTTAAAAACTTTACCATAACTTGGTAAAGTTATGTAATTTTTCTTGCTGTGATCAGTAACACTGAAAATACACACGTGTGTGCATACACATATTCTAAGTACTTTATGACACAGTACTCTATTAACAATAGCATTTGTTACTCCACTTTTTAGTGTATCAAGAATTTAAGGAGCTTCTGTTCTAACATTTGAAAGGGATGGGAGTGCGATAATTTTACATTGATAAAAATAAGCATGCATACATTGACAAATAAATATTTTCTAAATATGATGTTGGAAAATTACTTGAAAAACCCTTAAAATAACAAAATGCTTAAAAGAACTAGAATTGTTTTTAATTCTTTATTATCTGCACTGAGTATCATGTTTGAAATGGTCTATTGATGTGCTATTATATTGCATAAGTTATCTATCAGGACCCAATTTTAAATAAATGTGTAATTCGGTACCAATAAATTAGTTTTGGTCATTTGACATTTAAATTGTTTGCACTGCTGGGAGGAAAATACAGTAACTGTCTTAAGAGAACAAGAAAAACTATTTTAAACATTTAGTCTGCATTAAATGGGTTTCCATGCTCAAGTAAGGCTTTATGGTGGCAGAGAATAGAAAATTAACAAATAGTTGATCTATAAATAGCAAGATGTATGTATTACCTTGCAGTTGGTTAAAGGCAATATTGTGTTTAAATTAATGGTTTGAACTGTAAGATATTTTCATGCTCTAACAATGATGTAAAAACATTATTGTTGAGTATACCTAATACAATAGGAGCATATTAGTGACTCACTAGTAGCTTTTTCATCATAGCATAGCATTTTAATAAAAACCCATTAAAAATCTTAAAAGTCCGTTAACCAGTCACAGTTCAGAGATTAAGATTTAATCTTAATATTTAAGACAAATAAATAAAGATTAAAGATTAAAAAATGAAGTTCTTTGACTTCCGGGTGGTAAAATAGCTTTAAACATGACAGGTGTTAATGCAGTAATCTACAGGAACAGGATCCCATCATCATATTTTATTTTAGCTGTGATGATGGTGTCATCTAAGCATCTTCCGTATGTTGATGCATCACCATCCAGCCTCTAATCCGTCCTCTAATTGTATTTGACCAGCATATCAGCTTGTAACCTTATGTTAATAATACAGGATAAACATTTATGTTTGTTAGAATTAGTGTTGGTAGCATTTTACTGTAATATCACGATACACATTCTTGTGATAATGTATATTTTAAGCAAATTGATGTTGAAAATGTTATCCATACTGGTATTGTTCAGATCAATATGCCTAAGAGCTTATTATTAAGGGAGCAAATGCGTTAAAATCTTTTCTTGAGAATGTTTGTTATATAGGTTGAATCTTTTTATGCCTGGAATTTTCAAAGCTTTACTCGCATTATCTTTCTTGAGCTAACTTTAAATTTCTCAACATATGAGTGCTTTCAGAAATTGAATTCTCCCGCATTTGGAAACCAAAATGTACATTTGCAGATTTGGCTACTCCTATGAGCTTTGTGTTTGCAGAGTAAAATACATGCTAAAAACACCTATTTGTTAATTCATTTTTATTTGGTTATTTGCTTGTTATCTCAAGCAATCTTCCTATATATCTCTCTCTCTCTCTCTCTCTCTCTCTCTCTCTCTCTCTCTCTCTCTCTCTCAAACACACTCACTCACTATCTAACTATCTAACTGTTTTCTGATTTATTTTTTTCTTTGTATGTTTCAGTTAAAAGAAAAGGATTGCTAAAGGAGAGAATACAGAAATTTAATGCTCACCTAGATCTGAACTTTAACAAACAATAATTTACTAAATTGAGACCAATGTCTTTAGATATGCAGTGTTCCTAACATAACTTTATAAGCGTGCACTAATATGTTTGGTTAGGGAAATGCCTCTCACTAACAGGCATTTATATTTTCATTATGCATTTACTAGTAGAATTAATTCTTCCTTGCATTTTGGCTCACATTAAAGACTCTTCACAGCAACAAATAATGCATAAAATAAGGAAACTATCAACAGGATATTAAAACAATTGCAAAATACAAGAAGTATTATGAAATATTATGAAGAGTAATTTAAAACCCTAGAGTGGGATAGAATGGGGTGTCAGTTAAAATGACTGTTTTACATCCAATTCATATATTTTGAAATATCATTCAAGTCTCCTCATGATGAGAATGATTGGCAGGTATGCTCATTCAGGAGAGCCTAATCCATTTTGTTATTGATCATCTCATCATCTTCATCAGCCGATCTTTGCAGGAATCAGCAACCAAATATTTTAGAAAAATAAAAAGCAGGGTAAGAATTAGTATTGTTGCCATAGTTTAGCAGTTGAGCTCTTCTAGCATTTCAAGGCATAGCAAAGCGTGCTTCATGTCTTTACATTGTCTTTTAATCCCATTTAGGAGGACGACTATAATTCTCACATATTGGATAGCCAGTATCTGCAATACAAATGTCACGATTCCTTTCGTGAGAAATATTTCAGTGGAGTGACGAAGAGGATTGCCAAGGAAAAAAAAGACAGCCAAAAGTAATCTGTTTGGAAAGGGAAAAAATGAAAGCAAGGAACGCACAAGGCTTGTATTTGGCTATTAGAACATCTGGACCTCTACATTATGTAGAAGCTTCAGAGAACAAATACTGTTTTTAATTTTTTTTTAAACTCAAAGCAAAAACCACAACATAAGTGAAGGACAGTTCTTTTTCATTAACTTTGTTTATACCAGATTATTGCACAAGAATTTTTTTGACCTTTATTTAATTTATTTTAGGACTTCAAGTTCTAATGATAATTGATTACAACCTTTATCACTATTAGCCTTTCAGTCTATTACCTCTAGCAAAAATGAAGACTATTGTTTGGCTTTTTTTAGCTGTGAACATCTGGAAGTCTTAGGAATAATACAATGGTATTTTGGTTTAAAATATTTTTTTTTACTGTTGTGAAGATCTATTTCAGTTTCCTTTATTCTTTTGTAACCGCCATACAATAAATTAAGAAAAGTTTGTTCTGAATTTTAAAATTATATTGTCTGTCGCAGCAATTATCATTTCTTACCGCCATTTCTAGAGCCAATACGCCCTCTTCCTTCCTGCCAAGGATCCCGCGTGGTATTCTACATCTGAAGCTCATCTGTACGTTGGATCTACTATCACTTTAAATAAGCCCTGGTATTGCTGCTTTTGGTATTTGTGTTGCTATTTTTAAAATGATTATTATGGTTGTTGTTATTTTCACCTTTTGTTTGTTAATCAGTTTTATGCCACTATAGGAAGGCAGGTTGTGACTATTAGAAATAGTGAAGTCTCCCTTCTATTAACTGATCTATGCCAAATTTGTTTCCTCTGTTCTTTCTTAAATATCAATAATTGACATCTGCCCTTATTTTCATAACTTCCAGCTTGGATTTTTAAGATGTTCCACTCATGTTTGGCAATCCTACATTTGTGATGCTCATACACTTGTTAAAGGCTTTTTGTATTTAGTAATGGATTCTGGGATAAGTTCATAATATTGTGTTAAGCTTCTCAGCAATGATGTAAATTTAAAAAAAAACAGTGACTTTTTACAAAGCACAAATACTGGATAGCAGTAGACTTAGCAGTAGACTTAG